TTGATTACTATGTGTCTCGGCGTGTTTCTCCTTGGATTTATCCTGTATGGGACTCGCTGCCCTTCCTGGACTTGAGTGGCTATTTCCTTTCCCATGTTAGGGAAGTTTTCAACTATAATCTCTTCAAATATTTTCTTGTTTCCTTTCTCTCTCTCTTGTCCTTCTGGGACCCATATAATGCGAATGTTGTTGCTTTTAATGTTGTCCCAGAGGTCTCTTAGGCTGTCTTCATTTCTTTTCATTCTTTTTTCTTTATTCTTTGTGCAGCAGTGAATTCCACCATTCTGTCTTCCAGGTCACTTATCTGTTTTTCTGCCTCAGTTATTGTGCTATTGATTCGTTCTTGTGTATTTTTCATTTCAGTTATTCTGTTGTTCATCTCTGTTTGTTCTTTAATTCTTCTAGATCTTTGTTAAACATTTCTTGCATCTTCTCGATCTTTGCCTCCATTCTTTTTCCAAGGTCCTGGATCATCTTCACTATCATTATTGTGCATTCTTTTTCTGGAAGGTTGCCTATCTCCACTTCATTTAGTTTTTTTGGGGGGTTTTATCTTGTTCCTTCATCTGGTACATAGCCCTCTGCCTTTTCATCTTGTGTACCTTTCTGTGAATGTGGTTTTTGTTCCACAGGCTGCAGGATTGTAGTTCTTCTTGTTCTGCTGTCTTCCCTTTGGTGGATGAGGCTATCTAAGAGGCTTGTGCATGTTTCCTGATGGGAGCGACTGGTGGTGGGTAGAGCTGGCTGTTGCTTTGGTGGGCAGAGCTCAGTAAAACTTTTATCCACTTGTCTGCTGATGTGTGGGGCTGGGTTCCCTCTCTGTTTGTTGTTTGGCCTGAGGGGACCCAATACTGGAGCCTACCTGGGCTCTTTGGTTGGGCTAATGGCAGACTCTGGGAGGGCTTACACCAAGGAGTACTTCCCAGAACTTCTGCTGCCAGTGTCCTTGTCCTCACAGTGACACACAGCCACCCCCGCCTCTGCAGGAGACCCTCCAAATGTAGCAGGTAGGTCTGGTTCAGTTTCCTATGGGGCCACTGCTCCTTCCCTTGGGTCCCGATGAGCACGCTACTTTGTGTGTGCCCTCCAAGAGTGGAGTCTCTGTTTCCCTCAGTCCTGTCGAAGTCCTGCAGTCAAATCCCACTAGCCTTCAAAGTCTGCTTGTCTAGGAATTCCTCCTCCTGTTGCCAGACCCCCAGATTGGGAAGCCTGACATGGGTCTCAGAATCTTCACTCCAGTGGGTGGACTTCTGTGGTGTATGTTTCTGCAGTTTGTGAGTCACCCACCCAGCAGTTATGGGATTTGATTTTATTGTGATTGCACCCCTACTACCATCTCACTGTGGCATCTCCTTTGTCTTTGGATGTGGGGTATCTTTTTTGGTTAGTTCCAGTGTCTTCCTGTCAATGATTTTTCAGCAGTTAGTTGTAATTCTGGTGTTCTTGTAAGAGGGAGTGAGAGCACGTGCTTCTACTCTGCATCTTGAATCAATCTCTCAACATCTTTATTGGAGTGTAATTGCTTTACAATGGTGTGTTAGTTTCTGCTTTATAACAAAGTGAATCAGCTATACATATACATATATCCCCATATCTCTTTCCTCTCGCATCTCCCTCCCTCCCACCCTTCCTATCCCACCCCTCTAGGTGGTCATGAAGCACCAAGCTGATCTCCTTGTGTTATGCGGCTGCTTCCCACTAGCTATGGGCTTTACATTTGGTAGTGTATATATGTCCATGCCACTCTCTCACTTTGTCCCAGCTTACACTTCCCCCTCCCCGTGTCCTCAAGTCCATTCTCTAGTAGATCTGCGTCTTTATTCCCTGCCCCTAGGTTCTTCATAACCATTCTTTCTTTATTTTTTAGATTCCATATATATGTGTTAGTATATGGTATTTGTTTTTCTCTTTCTGACTTACTTCATTCTGTATGACAGACTCTAGGTCCATCCACCTCACTACAAATAACTCAATTTTGTTTCTTTTTATGTCTCAGTAATATTCCATTGTATATATGTGCCACATCTTCTTTATCCATTCATCTGTTGATTGACACTTAGGTTGCTTCCATGTCCTGGCTATTGTAAATAGAGCTGCAGTGAACATTGTGGTACATGACTCTGTTTGAATTATGGTTTTCTCAGGGTATATGCCCAGTAGTGGGATTGCTGGGCTGTATGGTAGTTCTATTTTTAATTTTTTAAGGAACCTCCATACTGTTCTCCATAGTGGCTGTATCAATTTACATTCCTACCAACAGTGCAAGAGGGTTCCCTTTTCTCCACACCCTCTCCAGCATTTATTGTTTGTAGATTTTTTGATGATGGCCATTCAGACTTGTGTGAGCTGATATCTCATTGTAGTTTTTTTTTTTTTTTGCGGTACGCGGGCCTCTCACTGCTGTGGCCTCTCCCGTTGTGGAGCATAGGCTCCGGACGCGCAGGCTCAGCGGCCATGGCTCATGGGCCTAACCACTCCGCGACATATGGGATCTTGCCGGACTGGGGCATGAACCCGTGTCCCCTGCATCGGCAGGCGGACTCTCAACCACTGCGCCACCAGGGAAGCCCTCATTGTAGTTTTGATTTGCATTTATCTAATGATTAATGATGTTCAGTATTCTTTCATGTGTTTGTTGGCCATCTGTATGTCCTCTTTGGAGAAATGTCTATTTAGGTCTTCTGCCCATTTTTGTATCGGGTTTTTTGTTTTTTTGATATTGAGCTGCATGTGCTGCTTGTAAATTTTGGAGGTTATCTTTGTCAGTTGCTTCATTTGCAAATATTTTCTCCCAGTCTGAGGGTTGTCTCTTTGTATTCTTTATGGTTTCCTTTGCAGTGCAAAAGCTTTTAAGTTTCATTAGGTCCCATTTGTTTATTTTTGTTTTTATTTCCATTTCTCTAGGAGGTGGGTCAAAAAGGATCTTCCTGTGATTTATGTCATAGAGTGTTCTGCCTATGTTTTCTTCTAAGAGTTTGATAGTGTCTGGTGTACATTTAGGTCTTTAATCCATTTTGAGTTTATTTTTGTGTATGGTGTTAAGGAGTGTTCTAATTTCATTCTTTTACATGTAGCTGTCCAGTTTTCCCAGCACCACTTATTGAAGAGGCTGTCTTTTCTCCATTGTATATTCTTGCCTCCTTTATCAAAAATAAGGTGACCATATGTGTGTGGGTTTATCTCTGCGCTTTCTATCCTGTTCCATTGATCTATATTTCTTTTGTGCCAGTACCGTACTGTCTTGATTACTATAGCTTTGTAGTATAGTCTGAAGTCAGGGAGCCTGATTCCTCCAGCTCAGTTTTTCTTTCTCAAGATTGCTTTGGCTGTTCGGGGTCTTTTGTGTTTCCGTACAACTTGTGAAATTTTTTGTTCTAGTTCTGTGAAAAATGCTAGTGGTAGTTTGATAGGTATTGCATTGAATCTGTAGATTGCTTTGGGTAGTATAGTCATTTTCACAGTGTTGATTCTTCCAATCCAAGAACATGGTATATCTCTCCATCTATTTGTATCATCTTTAATTTCTTTCATCAGTGTCTTATAGTTTTCTGCATACAGGTTTTTTGTCTCCTTAAGTTGGTTTATTCCTAGATATTTTATTCTTTTTGTTGCAGTGGTAAATGGGGGTGTTTCCTTAATTTCACTTTCAGATTTTTCATCATTAGTATATAGGAATGCAAGAGATTTCTGTGCATTTATTTTGTATCCTGCTACTTTACCAAATTCATTGATTAGCTCTAGTAGTTTTCTGGTAGCATCTTTAGGATTCTCTATGTATGGTATCATGTCATCTGCAAACGTGACTGCTTTACTTCTTTTTTTCTGATTTGGATTCCTTTTATTTGTTTTTCTTCTCTGATTGCTGTGGCTAAAGCTTCCAAAACAGTGTTGAATAATAGTGGTGACAGTGGGCAACCTTGGCTTGTTCCTGATCTTAGTGGGAATGGATTCAGTTTTTCACCATTGAGGATGATGTTGGCTGTGGGTTTCTCATATATGACCTTTATTATATTGAGGAAAGTTCCCTCTATGCCTACTTTCAGATTGGCTGTTTTTGAAAAATTCCTCCTTGTTTAGTTGACTGACTTCCTAGGAAATTTCCCAGGCAATGATATGAATTAATCATAAAGTGATTAAGAATACATTTTTACAAGGTTCCCACGAAGACCACTGGGATGAAAAAAGCAATGTATAAAATGCAGTGCTGCGGCTTCCCTGATGGGAAGAATACACCTGCCCATGCAGGGGACATGGGTTCTAGCCCCGGTCCTGGAAGATCCCACATGCTGTGGAGCAACTAAGCCCGTGTGCCACAACCACTGAGCCTGTGTTGTGGAGCCCATGAGCGACAACTACTGAAGCCCACAAGCTTAGAGCACATGCTCCGCAACAAAGAGAAGCCACTGCAATGAGAAGCCTGCGTACCGCAACGAAGATTGGCCTTGGCTCACCACAACTAGAGAAAGCACATGCACAGCAACGAAGACCCAATGCAGCCAAAAATAAATAAATAAAATAAATTTATAAAAATAAATGCAGTACTTAAAGTTAGAGTAATTTGTGTAAATTTTAGCAGGAAAATTTAGTCTGTCAGTTATTTCTCTTGGATCTCAAAGCAAATTTTTACTTGCTTGGAAATATAAATTATAACTGGAATCATAATAAAATACAGTATCAATTTTGAAATATCTGAAACCGTAATTTGATGATGTATCTTTAGGTTACTCATTAGTTATAGAAACATTAAACAGAAATTAAGAAACTTTAAGCAAGGTAATTATATAATGATAGACATAGTCCAACTCTATCTGGGAATACTCATTGACAGAATTTTGAGGGAACAGGAAACATTAACAGATTCCCTAATTAAAGGAATAAAAATGATCTGACTTTCTTGTTTGTATGTACAGGATTGGAAACCATGTTGGAATTTTTAAAAATATCGATGAATATAGTTGCCTTCTTTTCCCATGTTTACACTTTTACTTCTCTTTTATTAGTCTGCAAAAAATGGTGAAGCTTTACAAAGTAATGAGGAGATGGAAAGTACAAAAAACTTTCTAGCTTTAACTGCTGCATCAGAAGAAACTGTTGGTGAGTAAAATTGATTCGTCTTTATTTTTATCTCAGGGTCATAGAATGTTTGGATTAAAGTAAAAGTCCCAATTCAGTTATCTTTTCTTTTTCTTTGTGAGTTTAATTCTTTAGAGGAAATGATCACGTTGGATAGGACTATATGGAACTACTCTGAAGTTAGGTATGTTTCAGAGTCTTCTAGTGTTTGTGTCTCCTCAAGGGTGAGGAGGATAAGGCAGTGAAAAATCAGGAAATAGACAAAGTGTGTCTTTGCCTTTACTTCCTGTGACTCTTAGGTGCCTCTACACACCCAGTTTGTGCAGTCCCCTAACTGCCTGGGATTGTCCCATGAGGTGTCTCACTCAGACCTCTGCACCCTTTCATAAAAATCCATTACTGATTTGTCCTTTCCCCGTTCTCTCATAGTTCTGGTTTATGAGACCAGCCAGTTAATTCTGTGCATATGTTTCTACTTCCTCCACTTGTGTGTATGTAACAGTTGACCCTTGAACAACATGGTGGTTAGGGGCACTGCCCCTGTGCAGTTGAAAATCCAGGTATAACTTTATAGTTGGCCCTCTGTCCCTGCAGTTCTGCATCCATGGATTCAACCAACCAAGGATTGTGTAGTACTATAGTATGCATTTATTGAAAAAGATCCGTGTATAAGTGAACCTGTGCAATTCAAACTTATGTTGTTCAAGGGTCAACTGTATATTTGTGATTCGCCTCCTCCTCCTCCTTCTTCTTTTCCTTCTTCCTTCTTTTCTTTCTTTTTCTTCTTCTACAGAAGTACTGTGGAATCATATAACTTATTTTAATTTACTTACTTAGTAATGAATGTTTTAGTGATTGGTAAGACATGGATTTTTTGGCAGGACACTTTTGAAATCCTTTAACTAACATCATCTAAATGGTCATATAGTATCTCTTGGGCATTAGACTGGCTCTAAGTAGGGGTCCCAGGAGTGGGATTGCTGGATCATATGGTAGCTGTTTTTAGTTTTTTAAGGAACCTCCATACTGTTCTCCATAGTGGCTGCACCAATTTACATCCCCACCAACAGTGTAGGAGAGTTCCCTTTTCTCCACACCCTCTCCAGCACTTATTATTTGTAGACTTTTTGATGATGGCCGTTCTGAATGGTGTGAGGTGGTACCTTGTTGTGGTTTTGATTTGCATTTCCCTAATAATTAGCTATGTGGAACATCTTTTCATGTGCCTATTGGCCATCTGTATGTCTTCTTCTGAGAAATGTCTATTTAGATCTTCTGCCCATTTTTTGATTGGTTTGTTTGTTTTTTTGTTATTGAGTTGTATGAGCTATTCGTTTATTTTGGAAATTAAGCCCTTGTTGGTCACATTATTTGCAAATATGTTCTCCTAGTCTGTAGGTTGTCTTTTAGTTTTGTTGATGGTTTCCTTTGCCGTTCAGCATCTGTATTTTAGAATGCAGGAGCTAAATGCTAATTTCACCACTGAGGCATTTCTAAGAGGCCACACTTGCTGTGCTTGACTCTGGAGCAAGGACTTTAAAACAGGCCACTCTGTAAAGGGATCCATGGTGGCCTTTTGACATTAGCCTTTTGGTCACAGAGTTCACTACTGAGTGAACTTTAGGCCTTAGAGGGAAAGACTTGTTTTCAGCTGGCCTTTCTTCACGAACAAATCTGAACTATCAGATACATTTAATTTTAAAAGCCCATGACAGGTCCATTTGGTTAAATCTGTGGAGCTCAGAGTTGTATCTCTGGAGTCACGTGACTACTGTAGGCCCTGTAGACATCTACATTCATGCTAGATTAGTACTAATACTCTAACATGGAAACTTCTTAGACTTCATGATCTGGAAGCTGGAGTTACCAGAGGCTTGGCCAGAGAGAGTCATTGCTTTAAACATTACCATGTCAGAGTTTCAATTTTTAGATTTCGAATTCTTAGTCACTTATTGTGTACTGGCAGTGTTTATCGTGTGCAGAGCAGATAAGATATGAGAGTAGGGTCAGTGTGAAAGGAAATAGGGATCAAAGATGCTTTTGGGTAAATCAAGGGTCTGTCACCCTTCATTCTTGCTGCCGTCTGTCTTGATTAGCTCACGGTTGACTAGTTCACCAGAATGAAGAGACAGCACTATTGTACTTCTGGTTCTTCAGATTTAATTAGACTTTTTTGGTGGCTGGCATTTCATAGAAGACAGGTTCCTTAATGGAATGTCTTGCTGGCTCTTCACATCCTAGGCATGTCAGCAGTCACATATATATCTGGTCTTTAAAAATCTTAAAACCCAAAAGAGATAGCATTTACTACAAACTACATTATTAGCCTAATTATACATTTTTTTTACATTTGACATAACATAATTATTACCTTATTCCAAAAGAGGTAACTTTTGGAATCTTCAGTTTATGAAATGTGTTATTAGCAAGTATGAAAGAAATGTATGAAAGAAAGGCATAGAAATGAAAGAGTCCAATTTTACCACCTAGCACTGATTTTTGATAGTCTCATATTTCTACTATTACAGCATAGCCACATATCATGAAATGTTGTGACACTGCTTATATCTGTTGTGTCCTGAGATTAGTTTCTTTCCCAGGTTATTCACTGAACTTCAACTACCCCTCTTAATTAAAAATGTAAAAATTTTAAAAATTAAAAAATTATTTTGATCAAGCCTATGGATAGCCATAAATTTTAAAGTAAAGTGTTTCTTATAAGGCCTATTATGAAAACAGAAATCTTTTGCTCTCTTTTCCTCCATGATCATTTTTTTCTTTGTTCCCTGGAAAGCTCAAAGTCCTTGTAAACTGTCCAGTAGGTGGCGGCATCTAGTTAAAATAGTACTTTAAAAGCATCTCTTGAAGAATTTAGAGCCAGGCTTATTTGGACTTGAACTTTAAACACAAATCTATAAATACCCAAACCTACTTTTTGCTGTTCTTATTTTTTTCCTTTAAACAAAGGGAGAAATCTCAGGATGAGTGTTCTTCTTTATTTCTCCCAGTCATTTCCTTAACTTTCTTAAGAGTATCTCGAGGGACTTTGGGCTAGTGGCAGAATGGCAATTTCCAATCTGTTTTCCCACCCTCTAAACACAAAATGCATCCTTTGGGGATGTTATAATCCCTTTATAACATCACAAATAAACAATAGCAAAAAAAAAAAAAAAGAAAAAGATACTTGTGTATTTAGTTTTATTTATAGGAACTAAACACAAATGGGGCGTTGACTCTGAGAAAGATAAATACCACATTAAATTGATTTCTTTTTAAACCACATTTTGACTTCATAAACCAGAGATAATATCCTCAAGTACTGAGGTTTCAAAGTGGACAGTATTGCACTTGCTAGAGATTTCAGAAGTATTTTAAAAGTCTGTCTCACCACATTTTTGAGGGATCACTTTAAAGCTTTTCTAGAGAAATGTGAAAATCATTTACCATACCAGGAGTTTTCCCTTAGTTTTTAGCATTTATCTGATGGATAGAGGTAGAATTCATTACTCTCTGAGACGAATATATCTAGTGATAGGATTGCTTGTTATCGGTGTTTTGGATAGAGGTTATTCTTTTTTGCCTTTGTCACTTTTGCCCTTGTGTTTCCAGCTCCAATGTATAAGTACATGTAAGCACAAAACAGTGGCACTTTAATCAATCAGATTTCTCAAAATTTGCAAATACCTCTTTCAAAATGATTTTCTGTGAAATTTAGGAAAATGTTGCTTCTGCTCTTGCATGTTAAGATTAAATATTCCAAGAAAATTTGGTAGTCTCTTTCTGCTGTGATTTGCAGAGGACTTGGGGAGAAAATCACGTAATTGTGCTGACTGGTACAGCTAAGGATTTTTGATTTTTAACCTCTGTTATATTCTCAGTATTGCTTAGCAATTTCTGTTACATTCTCCAAAGTGGCTCTTCCAAATTGTTACTGTGTATTTAACCTCCCATCCTCTTATGCAAGTCCTTTACCCTGGCAGTCTTAGGGTTCAGAGAAAATGCACCAACTGGTTGGGAGTCCCTTCCAAATTCTTGCTTTCTGTCTCCAAATTGCACTCTGACTGTGCTCCTCTACCCTCTTCCCTCTTCCCTTAGATGGAGGGCAGGTGCTCTTCTTCTCCAAGGCCAAAGTCAATAATGTCCCATCCCCTTCACTCTACTCCTGCCTCCTGATCCATCAGTTTTTCTGTCTCTTACCTAGAGCATCTCTCTTGTCTCCTCTGGATCCTTCCCTTCAGCTAACCAGGCTTAAATGTTCTGGCCCTAAAACAGAATCAAAGAGCCATCAAACCAACAAAACATACAAATAAAACCTCCTCCCTCGGTTCGTCACCCTACTCCCAAACAGGTACCATTTGGTTTCCCTCCTCTCCTTAAAGGTCAGACTTCTTGAGAGAATAGTCCGCACCTACTAGTGCTACTTGATCAACTTCCATTTACTTCCCAACTTCCCAACTGTATTTTCTCCTATCACACACTACAGAAACTACTTCATCAGTGGTCCTCCTAAATTCTATATCTAGTGACATCCTCCCAATTTTCATCCTATTTGATACCTCTGTCGCCTCTGACACAGTTGACCACTCATAGAATAGTAACTTTTTTTTTTTTTTTTTACTGGATTCATTATTTCCTGCTGGTTCTCCTCTCCCCCTCCTTATTTCCCATGGTTGAAACCTATTTCTTCTTTTGTATATTTTCGCTATCTTGGTTAATGGTTTCGTCATCCACCCAGTCTTTGTGATGGCTCATTGTATGTGTCATTTAGACTGGATCACAGGATGCCCAGATGTCTGGTTAAGCATTATTTCTGGGTGTATCTGTGAGGGTGTTTCTGGAAGAGACTAGCATTTGAATTGGTAGACTGAGTGAAGTGAATACTGTCCTGATTGTGGGTGGGCATCATCCAATACTTTGAAGGCTTGAATAGAACTAAAATGTAGAGGGGGGAGGGATTGGCCCTCTCTCTGCCTGACTGTTCGAGTTGGGACATTGATCTCCTCTGGCCCTCAGTAATAATT